AGTCCGGCCTGGTTCATGCAAATGCCCTTTGTTAGAGGTCCATGCCCTGTTTCCCCTCACTCTTGGGAGAAGAAACCAGGAGATGTCTCGATTTCATTTGTCTCGAACATCCTTTGATATTCGCAGAATTTCACTGATGCCTTCCTTCCAGTTATGCCTCATGCGTTAGTTGTCTGTTTCTTGCTTTCTGCGGCTGGCCCTCGTTGAGCCTTCAGCATCGCCCTTCCTTCTCAGTTCTGGCTTTTGCCCTCCACTAACCTGGACTTCTGCTGGGCTGTTGCGGGCCCTTCGTGTAACGCACCCTCCTTCCCGTCTCCTGCTGGGTAACAAAAAACGGTGGTGCGTTACTGCCATCTACTGGAAAAAGAGGAAACTGCAGATGGGAAGGCAAGCTGCTTTTAAGGGCAGGATTTTCTAAAGGATTTGTTGTAGTCTATGGGGGGGGGGGATGATGACGCGGCAGTAGCTATCTTGCAATGCGCCCTTCCCTGGAGAAAGGTTGGTGTGAAGCCTCTAACATCACGGGGCCCCCAGACAGCAGCAGGCTCGTGCAGTTTCAATTCTTAAATTGTGTTTTAATGAACATACTGGCACTAATTCATTGACATGGGCATCTCGTTTTGTCCAGTTTTTAGCTATTTGTTATTTTGTCAGGGGGGAGTTAACGTTTTAAATATCAATATATTTACATATCCAATACATGTTTTTGAGCTTCTAAAACATTTGAAGATTGTATGTGACGTGGGTGTCTGTGTATATAGTGTCCTGGTAATTTATATTGTATCAGAAATATTTTATAAAATTTCTGGATATATGGCAGTAGCCGGTATAGGCTGTGTACTCTCCTGCAGATGGTTTTGCTCTGAAATGTAACTTTCAATAAACATTATGCCAAGAAAACTAGAGTGTTGTTGCTTAATTCATTTAATTCAGAGTCATCTCCCTTAATAAGAAATACTTCCGGTTGCTAACAGCCACAGCAGAGCTTTCTTTAGGGTAACTTAATGCAGTGTACAAACAAAACACCACGTGGGGCCAGGGAGATAGCTCAGTAGTCTAAAGTGCCTGCTTAGGCAAGCTCAGGCAAGTGCAAGGACCTGGTTCGATCCCCAGCACCACGTGCCACGCCAGTCCCGCCCCCCGGGGGCTGATCGGGCACAGAGTCCCAGAGTAGACATATGCCTGTAATTTCACTGCTGGGGAGGCTGAAAACAGGAGGATCAATACGAGTCCAAGCTGCGTAATGAGACCCTGTAACAGCGAAATACCTTAAAAAACAACAAGGTGTTCACAGCACTGAACTGGGCTTGTCACCCCCTTCGCCTGTATCCCCTCCCCCCATGACTTCCCAAATACAGTGTAACCTAGAGCAGGTCTTGGGGTGTAGCTCAGAGAGGAGAGTTTGTCTACTGCAGGGGTCCTGGGTTAGAGCCCCAGTGCTACAAACCAGTTTTTTTTTTTTTTTTTTTTTTTTTTTTTT